ACTTGGGCATATTGTCAATGTACTTAAAAATTAACATTAGTGATGTCACCTTAAACTGTAACCCTTCCGCTAGAACAATATCCAATCTGTAACGGAAAATTTCATCAATTGATGGCTGATCATTATCCACAATGCGAGAAAACAGCATGAGACTTTGCTCAAAATTTTCAATAGTTGGTTGCGGTGAAAGTAACATACCCATTACATCTGCTATTGTCGGTAATTGTGAACATGAAAAGTGAGAAAATTTATAAAACTTATGAACTATGAATCTTTTTTTTAGTTGGAAAATCTAATCTGATCATATTAGATTACATTAATAGCAAAATTGCACAAATATTCTTAAAATTTGCAAAAAATGATTGAACTGGAATTTTGCTACATTTAGAAGGAAATGAAATTCGTAAATAATTAAGGACCCAGAACAAAGATATTTTACGCTCAATCATAAAATAAAGTAACAACAATAACTTAAAATCTATGAATCAAATTAACTTACTAAGGAGTGATAAAATTATGCACGCAAGAAATACATTATAACTTTTTGGCTTAGTTACAAAATCTATTTGAACTAGCAGATTCAAATTAAAAATTACAGCGTCGCATCCGTATTTTAAAGCAGACTGGGCAGTTCTTAGACTGAGTATTACTGATATCTCCTTCACCACTACTGCCCTCAACTCCAATGAAGGTAACATCATGTTCGCTGCTTTCGTCAAATTTTTCGGACAGGATATCTATACTATTCAACCATCGTTCGAAACAGGCATTTCGTGAGTGTATTCCCCTGCCATGCGTTACAAAATGATCATATGCTGTTGAAGATGCTGAGTTTGTATTATTTTTCTGATTAGAACCTGGAGTTTTTCGCCTATTCTCATAGGTTTCATGAGGTCCATCTCCTCTTAACTTTGAGCTTTTGTGATTTGTTCGATTTTTAGCATGTGACGAAGTTTGAGAGTTTTTTTGACTATTGGAGCCATTAGCTTTAGAAAATGCGTTCACTGGTGCAGACTTTGTGTCTGTAGCACTTGAACAATTTGCGCCATTTTGTTGAATCTGCTGCATTTGTTTTCCATCCTTACGCTTTGCTCTTTTCCTCTTATTCATTTTCACTGCGTACTGCACTGCCTATAATCTGTACATACGTTCAAAAATGTGGAATTTCGTAATTTCCAGAATAAAATACTCGAAATACATATACTGTAATGAGCTTGTAATGCAATTTGGACATAGAACGGAGGGCATAGAATCACTTTTGAAAGATGGATAAATTCAGTGAGTGTGTCACCTTATGATTGAAGCATAAAACTTTCAAACTTTTTTTGCGAGCTAGAAATTCTGTAAGTTCTCAGCAGTGAAAGGCTGGAGTGCTATGATATCGGTGATCTTGTAATTATAGACATTTTATGAATTACTATTTTTATAGCAATCAAAAAGTAAAAGGGGAATAACAGATAAGAGATCAAATCGTTTTTACAAGAGTAAACTAAATTTTATTGAAAAACATAATATCATCTCACAAACTGAAAGTGATAAAATCTTAAGCTCGTCACTATATTGTAATATTATATCTTTATTTATTTGGGACCATCACAATATAATTATTAATCTTATTTAGAAGCAGTTATTAAAATCGCACAACAGTCTGCTTAAAAATTGCTGTACAAGATTACTTCACTAATGCTCAAAAATTTTAAGACTAATTCATTTTCATAATAACTGCATTAAAATTGACTAGGAATATATCAAAGAATTGCTTCAGGTCAAGTACTTGCAGCTACAATCAGAACAAAATGGGGAGAAGAAAATGTGCAAAGACACCAACATATAGAGATACAGTTCTAGACACGACCAGACCGTAGCAAATGAAAAGTGAGACTGAAAATTTCGCAAGAATTTCAATGCACTAAATAAAATGTTGCACTTAGACAGTCAGTGAAATGAGGACTAATGGGATGCATGGAAAATAACCGTATCTGTTCTCTTCTTGCTCTCTCGTCATGCATTATGAAACTCTACTCTGCTTGTCTGGCAAATGTCTGCGAGTATCAGTTCATTAGCATTTTTAAGATGACATCACTAATGTTAATTTTTAAGTACATTGACAATATGCCCAAGT